TGCTAACCATAATACCAGCTTTATGCGTGACAGCATCTACTTGGGACTTCTGGATATTACGCCTCGCATTATTAACTTTTGAGTGATGATCAGAAGACTTTAGTATCTTAGGCTAACTTTGTTGTTGCCCTATACTTTGTTCCTTCATTTCTCAAATCTAGCAAAGCTGAATATTCAGTAGTAATTGACATTGAGGCATTCTGAGGAAGACTTGCAGGAACTTGCATCTTATAAAGACTTTTGTAGCTTTGCATGTGGGTTAAGTGTCACTAAAGATTGTGCAGAATGAAACATTAGTCTCATCCAAGAGTATGTTGATACATACCACAAGAAAGATCAATGCCTGAATAAATTATTGGTTGTCCGATTGCATAAAAAGATTGTCTCCAAAAAAATTCCACAGTCTCGTCAGAAAATAATAGTAAGGATTTTTTTTTTAAATCAGCTTATTATCTTTATTAAAGAACACAATTTCACAAAAAGGTTTAAAACTTAATTTCATAATCAATTGAAAAATCAGTTGAAAATGTTCAAATCAAATCAAATCATGTTCAAAAATCAGTTGAAAATGTTCAATTTTCACAAATAACTCATTTTTGGAACTAAAACTCAGTTTTCACTTGTAGCTGTTCCAGACATATTTAATGAGAAATAATTTTAGGAAGAAATTATTATATGATGTGTCATGAAAAGAAAATCTTAACGTGTTTAAATTGTAAACAGATTTTTTATTTTATTTTTGGGCTACCCTAATAAATAATGTGCGTGTGTGTGTATATATATAGTGTGTGTGTGTGTATATATATATATATATATATATATATATATATATATATATATATATATATATATATATATATATATATATATATATATGTATATATATATATATATATATATATATATATATATATATATATATATATATATATATGTATATATATATATATATATATATATATATATATATATATATATATATATATATATATATATATATATATATATATATATATATATATATATATATATATATATATTTATATATATATATAGCATCCTAGTCACAACTTTCGGGGAAATGTTTTTTTTGTTCCCGTTCTGTTTTTTTTTTTTACTTTTTTATACTATTTTAATCATATTTATAAATTTTTTTAACTTTAATTTTATTTCTATTTTTATTTATACATTTTGAAGTTTATTATTTTATCATAAAAATATATTTTTTATATATTAATTTTTGTTATTTTTATTTATTTATTTTATATTATGTTTCATTTATAACTGCATTAATTTATAAAATCGAATAATTACAATAATATAACCAAATTTAAACCTTGCCGTAACCCTATCCCTAAGCCTTGATGCCTGACCTAACCAAACCCTCAGTCGATGTAAGAGCACTCACTTGTGGGTCATTCTATTTGATAGTTGATGTATGTACTTTTCGTTTTCTATAAAATTTTTTATGGGTGCATTTTTTTACAAAAAAAATAATGCTTACGGCGACAAAAAGTTAACGGGTTCACTAAAATTTTCCCAATAATGCTAATGTCCCCGTAAGTGTTTGTTTTTTGTAAAACTTGTCCCCGTAAGTGATAAACTATACAAATATATATATATATATATATATATATATATATATATATATATATATATATATATATATATATATATATATATATATATATATATATAAATATAAATATATATATATATATATATATATATATATATATATATATATATATATATATATATATATATATATATATATATATATATATATATATGTATATATATATATATATATATATATATATATATATATATATATATATATATATATATATATATTTATATACATTATTTAAGGTAATTATGACTTTCCTTTTAGATGCAGTTATATATGACAAAGGTGGTCTGGAAGCGCGCAATATTGAAGGACTAGTTGGTGATCTGATGAAACGTGCAACCTCGAAATCGCCCAAAAAATTGCAACTATTTAACATGAGTATCGTACTATAAGAAAAATAGTTATTGTAAAATTTATGCCTTTTTTGTAAAATATGATCTATAGATAAATTGAATTCTGTTTTTTTGTATCTTCTTTTTTGTCAAAAACATTCATTTTCCCTTATACCGCAAACAAATTATTCTTATTTATTGCTAAAAAACGTGTCCCAGTGTCCATTGTAAGGGTTTTTAAGGGCGTTAACGTTTCTTTTTCTTTAATATGTCTTGTAAACGTCCGTAGACCTAAAATATTCATTCAATTTAAGTCTGAAACAGACGTCTAATAAGGTTTAAAATGGACGGACGAATCATGTTGCATTTGGACTTAGTTTAGACGTCTAAAAACGTCCAAAACAGACGTCCGTTTGTCCGAAACGGACGCTAAATGTACGTCTAGTGGACGTCTAAACGTTTACTGGGTTAACAGGTTCTAATTGGTATGGAGTTGCCGACATATTTAAAGTTTTATTATCAAATATCAAATGTAAAATAAAATGATATTTCCTTTTAATCCGTATCCAATTTAGTTAACAATTCATCAAATATATCTAATTAATACTGTCAGTTCATGAAATTATTTGTTAATAAATACTTTTTTCTTCGACGGGAAAACAAAAAATATCATAGCGTAAAAATATCCAGAAAAGTTAAAAAAACGTTCCCATTGTTTAAATAAAAATAAGTAAGATTCAGAACATATAATACTGCGCTCTCTTGCACAAAAACGAGAGACCGTATACATAACGTTCTATATAATGTAAAATACTTGTATAAAAATCATAAGGTTCGTAAGTAAAGCTTTACCCAGTGGGCACGGGACCTAAAAAAGACGTCTTTTGAACGTTCAAAAGGCGTCCAAAACGTTCAAAAGACATTCAAAAGACGTCCAAAACGTTCATAAGACGTTTAAAAGACGTCTTTTTTACGTCTGTGCCCACTGGGTAATATTTGTTTTAATTTAAAACAAAAGCATTATAAGTAAGATATATCTAAAAATTATCAAGATATCGGTTAAAAAAAAAGTTCCTCCTATGAAATAAAAAGCTTTTATTATTTTTGATTTTTACAAATATTTGTTGTAAAAGTTGTTTTGCTGTATGTTAAAATTTTTTTTATTGAATTAAAATATAAAATTGCAGTTTTGTTTAATTACAATTTTGATTTGTTAAAAATCTACCATGACGTCAAATGCTAAAACTTTTATGAATTAAACGCGCTTTAAAGGAATCTCCAAAGTCTGTAGATTGCGACGTATAAGTTAAAGAATCCGAGTTATTGAAAAAAATGGAGAAGGCAAGCTTCGGCTAAAACAACAACATTAGTTTTTTTCGGTATGCATTCATTATTCATTTTTAATCAAAAAAACTTGGTTCAAACCTTTTTTTTTAACATTATCTTTAATACGAACACAACATGTGTTGGGAGTTTGGGATCCCTTTAATGATTGTTGACACTAGCGCAACAGCTCCCAGAAGCCTTAACCATTCAAGGTGGCTAACAAAGGCAAACTTTGTGCTTCATTTGTACGGGTCTAGGTTAGAGCTGTCAGAGCAGCTAAGAACTTTGTCTAACTATATTGTTTATGTTTATGTTCCAATTTGGTTTCACATAAAGTCTGAACCTTCTTGTAAATGAAAAAAAAAATTAAGCAGCTGTGGAAAACAATTTTCTTATCACACCATCTGTTTTCTGAACTAAAAGACATTATTAATTTTCTTATAAAACAAAAAAACTATTTTGCACATCATGAAAATATTTCTCTTGCAATGATTAAGGATGAGCAAAGTCATGTTTGTAAACTAGGTTTGCGAAGAATTTTAAAGACAAAGTCACAGTCAAATACCGGAATTAAAAAATATAATGTTCCTGAACCAAACTTTGATAATTCTGATTACATTGATCTCATTGATTAGCAAAACATTATAATCACCGAACGTCCATCCATGTTTGACCTTTCTGACGCAGTTATTAAAGACATGCTTATTACTAGTAAATGAACTGTTATCAATTATCCCAGGTTTCCATGTCACATTCAGGACATTGAACATAGCATTAAAGTTGCTACTAAATCAACACATAATGTCAGCATTCAATAATAAGACAATATACTGGGTTGCATAATTTAATGTTAAAATCTGCATTTTAGGCATTTTCTTGTCATCTATTAAAGTTAAATTAAGTTTTTTTTTTATATTTCCAAGTATGAAAGATGTCGTGTACTTTTATCCACTATTGGTAATATTATAATACATTGTAATATTTTGATACGAACCGACTTTGATAAAATACTGTCTTTTTTAGTTTTGGTGGTTCTTTTCCAAATGACAGGGGGTGCTAAATTAGTATATAATTGTGATATAATTAAAAAAAAAAAATTTCAAAATTATATCACAACATTGTACTACTTTAATTTAGATTTAAAATAATCAAACTTCTTTTTTGAAATTGGTCTTCAGATGCCCCAAGGAGATAAAAGGGGGTCAAAAAGATCCTTATTTATTTTTTACAATTAACTGTTAGCATTTATATAAGTAAAAAAAAAATTGAAAAAATCTTTAAAACTCAATAAAAAAAAAATTTTAAGGAAATTTTGACCCTTTCCAATTTTAAAAAATTAAAAAATGTAAAACTTATTATAAAACTTGCTTGTTTAAGCCGTAACCGTTCTTTTAGCAAAAACGTTAGATTAATAAATAAATGTTAGATTAATGAATAAAAGAAACTTTTTTTTTATTAAAAAAAAAAGTAGACTTATCAAGCAGGCATTTAGCTATAACATTTTGTACAATACAATTTAATTACTTCATTTAGTAAAATATAACATCTAAATTAAACAATTCATTTGAAACCACAAACATACTTATTAGCCTTCATTTTCGTTTTCAAAAAAATGAAAATTGGTTTTATTGTAACTATATGATCTTTTATACTGTTATAATAAATTACATTTATGTACTAATAATTACAAGTAAATTCATTCTTACCTCATTTCTTTGTAAAACCTTTTCCTGTATTTCATTGATTTTGGAACAAAACTTTACATTAGCCTTTAGGTACATTTTATTAACAGGATATAACTTTGTCAAGCTTGTTTTACTTTGCAGTGTTATTTGAAAGACAGAATTTTCTAATACAGGAAGAAATTCGCTATCTACCAGACCAGAAGTAAGTATACAAAGTTTAGGTAATTTAGTTTTACATCCTTGAATTCTATAAGGATTGTTTTCTGTTGTTAGACAATCATCACCGTTATATGACACTTTGTTTCTAATTTTGCTTTCAAATGAATAACTTATTTCATTTAAAAAAGTAGTTTGCAGTTGTATTTTTACATCGTAAGAAAAAGATGAACTAACTGCCTCTGGTGGAAGGTACAAATCTAGTTTTTTTAAAAAAAATGGGCCTTTATTTTCATTAGATATCCAACCATGATCTACTAAATATTTTTTATTGGGAACTTTGAAATAAGTTGAGCCATTTATAACCCATTCATTTTTTGCACTACCAGCCAATGGGTAATAACGGAATAACTCGTTTGATGAAAGTATTCCCATTGTAAAGTTACCTTTCATAGTTAAAGGAATTAAAACCAATTTTTCAACCATTTCAGAATTACTGCACATATCAGGTAGTGAATTATAAGATAATAGTCTAAAACTGCTTATATCTGGGTCTGCTAAGATATCTCTGCAATCACTTATCTGTGTTCCATGATTTTTGTAAGTATATATGTTGCATAAATCTGTATATAATCTTAATTTCTGTAAACGAGCTAAGTATACGCCTTTTATGAATTTAAGTTCCTTTTGTAATTTTGTTCCACCATTATCGTTAATTATGTCTTCTGCACTTTCTTTAGCAATCATAGATCTTGCGCACCTTGCAAATGCCTCCATTATCTCCGACTGTTTTTCTTTAACTACCTCATACTGACCAAAAAGAAGTTCGATTGCCATATTTACGTTGTTTGCATAATATTCGCCATATTGACTTGCAGTAAGAGCTAGACTTACTTCTTTATCTTTTATTTTTTCTAGAAAAATATTTAGCATTCCTTTAACTATGCCAGAGTAATCATCAATATTATTTTGTTCAACGGCTGGTTTATAGTTACCATATAAACTTAAAAATGTTTTGCTATCTTCATAAGTAAAATTTTTATTAACTTTCGCTTTTTGCAAAATTTTATTAATTTTGATAAAAGTAGCTTTGTTTTCTGCTAGTGCTAAGCTTGATTTAGCTAATATATTTTCAAGTGCGTGCTTAGAGTTGGAAAAAAGGAGTTCAATTTCTATAATATCTGCACCAGCATTGGTTAATTTAGTTGTAGTTTCAATAGGATCAATTATTCCTCCATCAGTATCAGTTAACCATTTTATTGGATTTAATCTTCCAGTCATTTGAACTGCTAACTTTGCAGTGTAAAACAACAAATTTCCAGTTTGGACTCCAATACCGTAATTTTTCAAACCTTCTAATGAATTTATCAGGTTATCTTCTTTTTCTTTAATGAGAATGTTAGCATTATCCCAAATATCGCATGCATAAGTTAAATCGTGATTTGCAAGTTGATTATCAAAGTCTGCCAAATTTCTAAAATATTTTCCAATACTTTCTCTTGTTTTAAATATTTCGTCTTTTAAACTATCAAAATTTTGTTTAAAAAACTCAAATTCAAGAAATTTTTGTAAGTTATGCTTTTCAGATAATGAGACAGATTTATTAGAAACTTTCGCAAGATGGTCTTTTAAATCTCTTAGAGCTTCTGATATAATATTTTCAACGGAACAAATGTATTGATTTTCAGCAGTTATAAAGTTGCAACTCCATTTTTCAAATTTCTCTGATAATTTTGTAACATAGTTTTCTAGTGAGCGGATTACATCAATGTTAGTACCTGTTAATAAAAGTTCATGTAATGTATCATATATTTTGCTTTCAGGCCATTTAGTACAGATTATTGCAGCTGGTTTCATATTTTCAGTCACAACACTATTATTTTTACACTTATCTAGTGATTCTTCGGCTCCGTCACAATTGTACATTTCAGCAATGTATTCAAAACTTTTATACAAATTTAATATTTCTTCACTAAGAACAAAAGTTTCTCCCAATATTTTAGTATCCTTGAATCCCAACATTCTACAAACAACTTTAGAATTTTTTTCTGTCCAACCGTATTCATATATTAATTTTCCTTTGTATTGAATAACTCCAAAAATATTTGTCGCTAAAATTGAAAATATTAAAACTTTAAATGTCTTTATGCAATAAAAATAGCAATAATTAATGACCAAATTAACTTTAAAAAACAAAAACAACATACATAATAAAGATTTATTTTTATCATTATTATTTATTGCTGTAAATGATAGTAATTACGCCAATTTAAAATGAAATATTTCTTTAAAACACTTAATCAAATTCTTTCTGATGAACATAACTTGTGTGGGTATGTGCAAAAAATGGTTTTAAAATTATATAAACTAATGTTAAGTAAAGAAATAAAAAACTTTTTTTGAAGTTTAACAGAGTAAATACATGGTGCTCATATTTAATTTTAAAAGCATTTAAAGCTTGAAACCCACTGTTGAAATTGTCATAAAACGCCATTAAAAGAATCCAACAAAAAACATAAAACTAAGAACAAAGTTAAACATCATCCTTATAAATTTTATATTTTTATTTTTGTAGGGTAAATTAGGGTAATTCAACCCCCAGGGTTATTCTAGGCTCTTCAAAGATATGAAACAATGCAGAGAATCTACAAAACTCCAAACACTTTTGATTCATGTTTTTGATTGAAAACTTTCTGTTCCTTACAAAATGTATGCTTCCTGTATTCATAATGCTTTAGAAATTTTATTTACAAGATTTTTTTGGGACATTCAAAACCATCTTTATTTTAAGAACCATATATATACTTTATAATATATTTAAAAATATTTCAGATGAGTTTATTTCATTCATTAAAATTTTTCTTAGTTTCTTAGTGTTTATTAACTATTGTGTTGACAACATTTACAGTAAATATTTGTAATAAAACTTCATTTTATGAATTTTTCAGAAAGATGTAAACTGTCCTGATTCTGTACTTGTATTAAATTTTTAATACAAGTTTTTACTTTTTACTTTTTATTTTGTTAAAACTTAATTTTTGCATTCAAAGTTTGTTTGATATTTGTAAGTAAAAAGAATTCTTAAAATATTTTTTTGTTTTTGCTTTTATATATTCAATTTTAAGTATTTTTTAAAAGTAGAGGGTGGAATTACCCTACAACTTAAATTTATTGAACTTTTTATGTTAGCATTTTTAGATTTATGTTGCAAAAAATAAAAAATATTATTTGGAATGATTGTGGCTAAATTTTTTTCTCTCGTTATTTATAAAGAAATTTAAAAAAATATATTTGTGACTGAAGTTAGAAAAAAATATTATTTTCTGTTATTTTGACTTGTTACACACGTGAAATTCATTGTTTTGAAAAAAATAAAATCAAGTTTAGGAGAGATAGTCAAACTGCATATGTACTCACTGTCTTTAACACCTCCTTTCCCCTTTGTACGCGTTCGTACACATTTAAGAAACCTCAACCCTCTCCCATACCTGCTATGTATTTTATGGATGGCCCATAATATAGCGAACTTGGTAGGGTGCTTAAAAAACATACTAATTAATTTAAAATTTTATGGTCCATTGTGATGAGGTGTTCTATATGATGAAATAACATCAAGTTCATTTTTTTTTCAGTAAAATTTTGGTAATTTTTACTTTAAATTTTCAAAAACTAAAAGTAAAAAAATTAACAAAAATGTAAACTGCAATATTTAAACAACCAGATATTTCCAATCACATATTTAGAATCAGGCCCGTAGCTAGCTTTTTGTTTTTGTTTGAGAAATTAACTTTATGTAACAACACGAAACAAACTCCATACATTTATAGATTTATGTAAATTAAAAAAATTGTAAAAATATTGCAATAATCAGAGTCTGTTAACAATAAAACCCTAAAATGTTTACTTTCCTTACATGCCATTAGAGTGAGAGCAACGAAATTAAAACGTTTATATATACATTTTTTTTAACATTTTAAATTAAATTTAAGTTTATCATCAAGTCTCTAATGTCATGCAATAATCTCTTAGTGTTCAAAAGTTATGACTATATAAATTTTGAATAACCTCCCCAAATATTTAGGGAATTTAAAATATTATTTTTAGTCAAGTTATAAATTCATCTGATAATCAAATTCTGTTCCTCATTTAAAAATTTGGAGCAAAAGTTAATTTAATCCATTTTTGTGTGGATAAAGTGACCAGTGGCCACTCTGTCATTAATACCACTGTCATCATCTGATAAATTAACATTCCAATCAACTTCTTACTTTGTTTTTAGTAGATGTCTTCTGATTCTTTTGATAACATTTCCGATTAACGTTTTTACATCAAAACTTGGTAGTTTGTTTGCTCTTAATAATTTTTCCTGGTTTCCATTTATTTACATCATGGATACAAACACTGTCTCCCTTGCCAATGTTTTCCAATGTTTTCATGTTTTTGTCGTAATACTTCTTCTGTAAATTTTGAATTTTTTTACGATTTTTTTAAAATTTATTTATGTCAATTGGATTTATTTGAAGTAGTGACGGAGACATTGGTGTTGATCTCAATTTTCTTTCACTGATGAATTGAGCAGATGATGCAAAATCCTCAACAGGAGTACTCTTTACCTCTATTAGAGCTATGTACCAATCTTGATTTGAACTTTTTGCTTTGGTTAGCAAGTTTTTTGCTGTTTGCACACGTTGCTCAGACATTCCGTTTGATTATTGATAATGTGGGCGACTAGTTATACGTTTAAACTCCCGCTCTTTACTAAATTTTTGAAATTCTGAAGATGCGAATTGTGTGCCGTTGTCACTCCGTACTATTTGCGGTATGCCAAGTCTAGAAATAATCATTTTTAGTTTCTTTATCATGATTATTTTTCTCTATTGCGATTGAATGTTATGAAATCTTTTGATTTTTTAGAAACCAGTATAATAGTCAAACATTATTATAAAATCCTGATTATTCCAGTGAAACAAGTTGGCTCCTACGATTTGAAATGAATGATTTGGTATTTCACTTGTATCATTATTTCCTTTGTTAGTTTTTTTGAGAATTCTTCTTTTAACTCTATTCCTTGTTTTCCTTCTATCCGTTTTACTTTGTTTAGAGTAGATATTTCTTTTGCTGTCAGTATTTTGGGTTTTTTATATTGCCTATGGTTTCTACTTCATTTAGTAGTCTGATAGCTTGAAAGTCTTGGGAAGTTTGTGGTTTAAGATCGAGTTTGCTTTTTGTTTCCACTACATAAAACTTAACCAATATTTTACTACTTTTGTAGTAACACACCATCTTTGATGTTCCAAGTACTGAAATATAATTCCCTCCATAACCACGTAGATTAACAACTTTATAAATGAGATTATCATGTGATGTTAGTTGGTTGAAGACTCTTTTCGGCATAACACCAACTTCAGCTACAGTGTTGATTTTTCTACGTACCCTTTTATTATTAACTTTGAAGATTATCAAAGCTTCTTTTTTTGATAATTCATTTCACCAGATGATACAGATTCAACATGGTATTTAATAGCGCAATTTTTATTTATGTTTTTAAAATTGCAGCTAGTCATCCAATGTTTTTTTTTGTTACATTTGTAGCACATTTGACCGAATACCGGACAGTATTTTGGTTCATGTGTTTTATTGCATTTCTTGCACTGCCTTTATTGTTATTTTGTATTTAAACGATTGTTTATATTTTTCCAGTTTTTTTTTATTTGATTTGTCTGTTTTGCTTTTTGATACATTTTTACTATTTTCAAATTCTCTCCATTTTGGTATTTGCCCAATTGTTGCATTTGCCTATCTTGGCTTTATGAATATCTTTACAACATCAATATCTTTTTTGTGTGTAATTGATTTCATTTTTACATTTGCAACATATTCAGCTCTGCATATGCTAACTGCTTTTGTTATAGTTAAATCCGCTCTTTTTTAAAGTAAATTATTTCATTCTTAGTCTGATTTGATTGATCTTAATATTTTCAAATTCAATGTTGAAGCCAAATTTTTTAAATCAGTCACAAAAAAATCAAATGGTTCATTGAGATCTTATTTTCATAAGAAAAATTTTCTTCTTTCCAAAACCAGAATTTTTTTCGGTAACCAGTATTCTTCAAATTATTCAAACAACACTTTTACCAAGATGTCATCAATTTCACCATCGTCATTTTCTATTTTGTTCCAAGTTCTTGTGTTGAATATTTCTCTTCCTTTTTCACCGATAATAAATAAAAATGTCAAAAATTAGTCTCTTAGGGTATACTTTAGCAATCCCTATTGTGTAACTCTCCAAAAAAAATTACAAATTCAGCAATCACCAATTGTTATTCTTAGTGTTGTTTAAGTCAATTTAATCAAAATATGGGAATAATTGATTTTTTTGAATAATTTGTAATAAAAATAATAAAGTAATTTAAATTAGCTGATCTGACCCGTAAAAATACAGGTCTTTGTAGGTCTATTCTTGTAACTATTTTTATAATAGAATTGCAGAACTAAGATCTTAAAACATTATAAACTAAAGACTATAAAACGCTAAGGAATCGCCCAATACGCAACGCTAAATTTATTTTTTAAAAAGTAGAAGAGATCTTGGGCATGGTAAAATGCTGTATCACTCTAAATTTTCCTATTGTAATAATAATAAATAACTTTAACTTTTAATTATTTTTAAAAGGAAATAGTTTAATACAATGGTTTAGTTTAATTATAAAATTAGAATCTTTAATTATATTTTTATAAAAAACATTCTTTTTTAAACCCCCCATACTGTTTTAAAAATGTTGAAGTCCCCGCTTGGCAAGTTCAAATTATCAGCTTCCTTTATTTTTTAATTTTTGTTATTTAAAATGCAACTTTAAATAATCTTTAGAAAACTTCACAAGTATTTTAAAAATTTTTAAAAATTAAAAAAAAAAGTCATCAGTGGTTGGATTCGAACGACAGCCTTCTTGTTTAGAAACTCAGCGCACTAACCACTCGGCCATAATGGCACGCTGGATGTTAAAATTTTAAAACTATATAAAGTTTGTTTTTATAGAAATAAATGTTGTAGATCAAAAATTAAGAAGAGGTTTACGCAATCCAGTTTTTAAGTCAAAGTCAAACTGTAAAA